AGAACAGAATCTTGCAAGACACATTTTGTTAAAGATGTCAACGTGTGGTCTACCTTTATATCTATCAACAATATTGTTCATCCAAGTACTATTCTCATCTTCATCTTCATTTTCACTGTCACTATTACTCCTTTTTCTTTTTGCAGACTTACAACTTTGTTGTTTCTCCAGATCTTTCAAAGGAATGCTCATTCGACATGGATTTTCACCAACAGGTATAAATTCTACTTTCCTTGAACATTGTCTTAATCTCAATCCTGTTACTCTGAATACAGCTTCCTGTGCACTTATCTCCCTATGGTGTAAGTATGAAGTTCCAATTTTTTTCATAGTCTGTTGAGCATTCAAATTTCCTTCTTCAGCTTCATTTTTGGTCTGTTGGAGGAGTAATCCTAGCTCTCGCTCAGCTTTACATATGTAACTTATAATGTATACAACACAGGAAAATGCATCCAAAATATATTGTATGTCCATGTTTGCATCCCAAGCCCTCAAAAGATGTGGGTTATACTGATTGGTGTATATTTCATTTGGCTGACGTTTAAGAACTACTGTATTTCGATTGGTGATGAAACAGTAATATTTTTCAAAGCTTTCTTGAGTTAGTCCTGCCTTTTTGAAAATTTCAGATACATCTAAGTCTTTATCTTCATGCTCTCTTATTATTTTCCATAAGTTTGACAACATTTCCTTTGCTAATTCTTCCTCTTCCTCTGAATCCTTATCTGGATCACTTGGTTCTGAGATAAATGTTCTAGTTGAGGGAGGTCTAGGGAAATTAAAACGACATACTGTTCCTTTTTTCTTACAAGATTTTGAATGCTTTTTGCTATGTTGGTGTACTGCCACAACAATGTCATGCAACTCTTTGTCTTCCTTTTCATCTGGTATCTCACATGAAATGTACTTGTCAATAAAAGTGATAATGTCTTCATTTTCATCTTCGCCAAATTTTGGAGCATTTTCTACGCAAAACAAACAATGTGTGTGGGGAGAACCTCTTTGTTGAAATTCAACTCGGTAAAAATAGTGGATTATTTTCCCTATTGGTTGAGCTTCTGACATGATAACATTCTTCAGAAATGTATGGAATCTATGATCAAACATTCTTGCTGCTGTAACTGGATTGCTACAGAGAACTTTACATTTTTCATCCCATGTCATATTTTCACTATTTCTCATGTCACCCTGTTGTTTTAAAATTGTGTTTACAATTTCTGACCATCTAAAGTCTGCAGAAGAAAAAGAATAGAAGAATGTTGGGACTCCTAACTGTCTTATCATTGCAAATATATCTTTTTGTGAACTTTGCCGATAGGGAGGAGTTCCTCGAATAGGTTTTAAATATTTTATAGCTTCCTTTTTTTTTAAATAGTTCTTTTAAGGTGACCTTGTTGCATAGCATTTCTCTAGTTACCTTCTTTCCTTCTTTTGAAATAGGACATTGTTTTCTGAGAGATATCTGTACGTTTGAAATCACGCTATTGAGCTCAGTTAAATATTGACTGAAAAATATGTAGGAAGTATCTCTTGCAAATCTATTTTCAACACTCATCAATCGAAGATTAAAGTACCTTCCAATAGTCAGTTTTTCATCACGGTTTTCATCAAATGTATTTTTGCCTGATAGAAAGTGTACAGGAAAGGTTTTAGCTTCAATTCCTGGTTCTTGAAGAACACTAAGAGGACTATTATTTTCTGCTGGAGCTATATTAAATACTTGGTCAAAGCATAAATCTAAAGCCTCTTGTCCGATATCAGCAGGTTGTAAACAAGTGTCTAACTGAACACCACGTAAACTATCATCAATGTAGCTAGCTGGTTCACTTTCTACTTCTCTTTCATTGCCTGTTGTAGAAGACTTTATCATTTCTTCTTCCTGTATTTTGTTTTCCCTCATCAGCTCAATATCATCAGATTCAGATTCCTCATTTACTACTTGATCATCGTCTAATTCAGGAATTGGATTAATCCATTCATTGTTGATAGCCACATCTTTATACCATATGTTTTGATCCTTTAAATACAAAATTGCTTGCTCTAAATGGTTTGGTCTTACAAATTGATATTTGTCATATCCTTTGTAGTTAAGCTTTCTCTTTAACTTTACTTTCAGTAATAGACTTTCATCTTCAGATCGGGGTAATATAGAAGTTACTTTTTTCAAATCAGATGGCACACACACTACAGGTCCATGAACCCCTTTTTGTCCTCCTTTTGGTAAAGCTATTATTTTCATGAAAGGAATGTCCTGGGCGATAAGTTGTTGCTCTATTGAATTAAGCTGTTTTAACTCTACTGGAACATCTTCTAGTAATAGGCTATTTGAAAAGGAGTCTGCAGGTATTTTACCTTTCAACATTTTACGATGACAAGTATAACAGTTCCACAGACTCGTTCTACATGTTCCTTTAAAAGCACAATTTGTCTTACAATCATCTGTACATTTGTGTTTGTATTCATCTGTTGTAACTAAATCAAAATATAGAGTTATCGTAAGAATCCTTTTTGCAGATTTGAACTTGTTTTTCAAAAAAAAGCCTCAAACAACAAGCACAAACACATTCTGGACCTTTGTTAACTTCATCTTTAAATTTTCTTATTACCTCAGTTATTTGCTTGTTTTCTACCTGAATACTTTCACGACGTACTGATGTTTGTTGTTTAATCTTAATTCTGTGTGCATCATCATCTGCATACTTGTGTATACTTGCTTGTTTCACATGTTCCTTGTGCTTTTCATCTGATTTATACTTGTGTATACTTGCTTGTTTCAAATGTTCCTTGTGCTTTTCATCTGCTTTATACTTGTGTATACTTGCTTGTTTCACATGTTCCGTGTGCTTTTCATCTGCTTTATACTTGTGTATACTAGCTTGTTTCACATGTTCCTTGTGCTTTTCGTCTGCTTTATACTTGTGTATACTAGCTTGTTTCAGCTTTTCCCTGTACTCATTGTCTTCTTTATATTTCTCAATTCCTGCTTGTATTAAGATATTTCTGTAATCTTCATCTTCTTCATATTTCTGAATACCTGAACATATTTTATTGGAACGTATTCCTTCATTCTCCTGATATTTTCTTTTTGATATGTCAATCTTTCTAGCTCTAAATTTATCATCTGTCATGTACCTGATCCTTTCTTTTTCAATTTTTAAGACTTTTGATTCAGTATTGTTGAGGGAGTCATTCATCTGGTTTTCATCAATTTTAATTTTTGTTGTTGTTACCTCAGATTTCCTTGAAATTTCATACTTTTTCTCATGTTCTTGTCTAGATTGTAATCCATTTGGTCACAAAGTCTTTTGTTTTACAGCTGTGACAACTTCATAATGATTGATATCTCCATTATGTTGAAGATAAATTGCTTGATCATTAACATTATTGTTGCTACATATTTGAGATGAAGAATATTTAATCCATGAGTTGTTATAAAAAGTATAAATGTCTGTTTTAAGTAGGTCAGCACAAGCTACTATTTCCAGTTCAGTTCCCGATACATTATTCTCTTCCATTCTGAGAGTTTGTATATGCTCTTCTACAGTTTTAAATCTTGGCTGTAAAAATGACTTGAAAACTTCTGCATTTCTCAACAAATGATCAACTATTGCCCTTCGTATGTCTCCAAAATATTCTTGTCTATTAGATAGTGAATATGAAATGGCTCGAAATAAACAATTTCCATCACCTGTGATAGTCTTGCAAGCAGTTGGTTGGCCTATGTTATAATAATTTGTAGAATTCTGTTTGGATATTTTCTTGCTTGGTATATTAACAATTTTACAAAGCTTCCTCTTTAAAAGTGTATTCAAGGGTATGAAATCATAAAAACATTCTGCTGTAGATAATATCTCAATATCAGATTCATCATCATTAATAACCTCATTAATGTGTACTTCGTTAACCTTCTCAATGCCATTACTGCAAATGTTCAACTTGAGTATTTCTGATGATATATTGCTGATCGGAGTAATATTTTCTCGAGTTTTAGGAAGCTCATCTTTGTTTCCAGTTTTTAAAATTTCAGACAATCTAAATTCACTGGTGATTAATGGTTTATGACTTCCTGAAAGTTCATAGTTAGTTTTGATCTTAGGTTCTTGTCCAAAAATACAAATACTGACTCCTGTCACCTCAAACCATTGATTTTGACTTGCACCAGCCATCATGTTGCAACAGTACTGGTATAGGTGATCCAGATTGTTTAACTTTAAAAGTAAACTTTTACCATCACTGTCCTTTAAGCCAAGCTCATTTCGTGCATGAGAATCAAATAAAAGTAAATCTTGATTATGTTTCAAGGCTAAAAAAGTAGTGTCATATGCACATATAAAGCTAGCATCATAGTCTATGAGAGACTCTTGTACAGCTTGGTCTTAAGGTAAAGAATTTCTAAACTCACTAAAATCTATGGTTCCAGAAGTATCTACAACAGCTGTAATTGATTCTTTTCTTGATATTTTCAGTAACGTTCCTGGCATGTCAATCATGTCTGGTAGGTCTGATACAAGTAAATGAATATTATCACCATGAATATGGCTATATATTTTGTTTCCATCTATCAAAACATTGTCTAAATAAATCTGATCCCAATCATTTAGATCTTTAAATTTACTATGGGCCAGAGCTGATAAACACTTTGCAACACAGTGCTTCCCACTATTAATTCCAAATCTGATATCTCCTTGGTGAAAACTACCTTGAACTACCCAATTATCAAAAAGTGATCTACTAACCTCTATACTGTTTTCAGGTATTGTTCTGTTGTTCTTTTGACTATATAGCTTCAGCAAATTATCATCTTGTTCAAATTCTAAAAAATCATTAAAATCAATCTGTTTATTTTCTTTTTCATCAATTATGCTCCCAATATTATTCAAGAATTCAAGACTATTTGTGTGTTCATTTTTTGCATCACCTGATTTTTTTTCTAAGTTTGTAACCAATTGTATTGTATCCTTTAAATTTGATATGATTGTTTCTTTTAAATTGTGTGTGGTTTAAGAACTCTGTTTTGATTTCCTTGATTCATAACCCAGATTTGTTTTAACCTCTTCATTATCCAGGGTTCTATTAACTGCTTCATAATCCAGATTTGTTCCAATTGATTCAAAATCTAAATTTGTTTCAACAGATTTAAAATTCAGATTCATTTTAACTGATTCATTATCCGGATTTGTTTTAATTGATTCATAATCCAGATTTTTTTCAACTGATTTATAATCCAGATTTCTATTAACTGACTCAAAATCCAGCTGTGTTTTAATTGATTCAAAATCCAGATTTTTTTCAACTGATTCATAATCTAGTTTTGATGTAAATGATTCAGGATCTACATTTGATTTCATTGATTTATTTAGTTTGATTGATTTAGCGGTTTGGTTTAATTTGATTGATTTAGTTGATTCAGATTTGATTGATTGTTTTGATTCTGATTTGATTGATAGATTTAATCTGATTGATTCAGTATTATTAGGACAGTTTAGAGAGATGGTGCTCTGATCATTGTTTGTAGAACAGTTTAAAGAGTTGATGCTCTGATCATTGTTTGTAGAACAGTTTAAAGAGTTGATGCTCTGATCATTATTTATAGGACAGTTTATAGAGTTGACGCTCTGATCTTGTTCTATAGGACAGTTTATAAAGTTGACGCTCTGATCATTGTTTGTAGAACAGTTTATAGAGTTGATGCTCTGATCATTATTTATAGGACAGTTTATAGAGTTGACGCTCTGATCTTGTTCTATAGGACAGTTTATAGAGTTGACGCTCTGATCATTATTTGTAGAACAGTTTAAAGAGTTGACGCTCTGATCTTGTTCTATAGGACAGTTTATAGAGTTGACGCTCTGATCATTGTTTGTAGAACAGTTTAAAAAGTTGATGCTTTGATCATTATTTATAGAACAGTTTATAGAGTTGACGCTCTGATCTTGTTCTATAGGACAGTTTATAGAGTTGACGCTCTGATCATTGTTTGTAGAACAGTTTAAAGAGTTGATGCTCTGATCATTATTTATAGGACAGTTTATAGAGTTGACGCTCTGATCTTGTTCTATAGGACAGTTTATAGAGTTGACGCTCTGATCATTATTTATAGGACAGTTTATAAAGTTGACGCTCTGATCTTGTTCTATAGGACAGTTTATAGAGTTGACGCTCTGATCATTATTTATAGGACAGTTTAGAGAGTTGACGCTCTGATCATTATTTATAGGACAGTTTAGAGAGGTGCCGCTCTGATTGACCGTGGAGATGAGGTTCTTGTCATCAGTCTGTTTTACTCTTCTCTCTCTCATTTTGTCTCTTTGCTCTCAAATAACCATGTTATCAATTTTTATAGCGAATAAAAATAAAGCAAATTCCTGGAATATCAGCTCATTGTATAAACTAACAAGCAAAAAAATAATGCAAGGGATAGTTCACAAAGCATTCCTTTGTAATAATCAAAGCCAAGGCTTTGTGTTTAAGGATGTACTTTGACCTGTAATTGTTTAATTTTTAGACATTGTGACTTGGGTGTAGAGTTGTCTAATTGGCACTAATACCACATCTTCTTAATTTTATGAGCTATGCGATACAGGGAAGAGGTTACAGACAGGAGAAAGGAACCTTGATTAAATATACAAAATTTCTGTATTTAGTACTAAATATATGATAAAATGACATCAATATTCAGTGTGAATTTTAGATATCATTTGATTGATGGACTTAATTTGATTGTTTCAATAGATATGATTGATTCAGTATTATTTGGACACTTTAGTATCATTACCATTATCTCCTCAAATGCAACTTTTTTACAACAGAAATAAATAAATACTTAGATAAAAAATTCACAAACCATTGTAATATTCGTAAGTTCAGGTAACTTATGAATACATCTTAAAATCTAATCTTAGAAATTTGTGCAATTTTATTAGAGTTATAAACAAGCGGTTTATCAGAATAAAGAATATATACATAGAATAGACACCATGGAAGTAACTACAAGAAGATCTAAAAAAAATTGCATAGCAAATACGTCATTATGTAAACATAAATATTAATACACAGGCAAGCACGTGCAATCGTATAAGTATATTGACAATTTTTCTAGGTTTAATTTCATGTCATAATATTAATAAAATATGTATATAATCGTTTTACCTGTATTTGATTTGTTTTGTGATTGAACAAGTTAAAAAAAGGAATCTTCACAGTGGCTGCCTAGTTTCTCTTTCCTTTTTAATAACTACACAAACTTAGCCCATCCCAGTTAACATGGTTAAGGTTTAAATTGAAGTTCACATGAATAGATTTGAATGAGTTGAATTACTATTTACTTCCAAGTCAATAATACATCAATGTTTTTAAGCTTATTTTGACAAAATAGAATCAAAACTGACTGCTAGCAATAAAACATTTCACAATTCCGCTTTTAGAAAGTTTTGAAACAAACAAATAATTGTATTTGAATTTTTTGTCAACTATGTAGCTAAATCAAATGTTCCTTCAACATCTGAAAAAAAGCTGTATTTACTTACCACAACTATTTCAGTTCTTGATATGAATAAGCTTTTATAGTTGGATTCAAACTTAAGAAAAAAACCTCTGTCACGCCAACAAGTCAGAACTGAAGAAATACCTGTAAAAAGAGGTGTTATCAGTACATGGTACTTTACTTTATCATGTTTATCTTTTTCAAATTTTATCATTTTCAACCAAGATTGAGAAAAAAACAAAATCAATATACTTTTATTTGAATATTTGCTCTCCAAATTTTTTTTTTAACATCTATAACAATTACTGTTTAAAACAAGAGATTCACTTGAGCCTGTACCACACAACTCTCAAATAAAATCTGCTAATGAGGACCTTTAAATACAATTCAGGGTTGCTTGTACATATGGTGAGTTTATGCCCTATATATTTTATAACTAATTTTCAAATTTCGGGGATGAAATTTCTTTAGTTAACATGGTCATGGACCAGACATGGTGGTTAAGTGCTTTTAAATCTTAATTGGCTATATAAGCTTACCACAATGTTAACTATAAGTTCCAAAATAAATGTAACCAGTTTTACATTCAGCTTCAAATGTAGTCAAGAAAACAACACAAACTGAAGAAATACCTGTAAATAGTATTAATACATGTAGCAGTGTTGACAATAACAGTACATGCAACTTCATTTTTATCTTTTTTTTACATTGATGTATAAACCAAATCTTTTATTACATAGCCTTAACATAACTTGAGATAAACAAATATATTGTATTCGTGGCTTTAGTTCAATGGTTTATTCCAAATTTTTTAATACAAAATCTTAACAATTACTGTATAAAACAAGAGCACACATGCTGGTATATCTCGCCTGCATTACTCAATTGAATTTCAAACTCTCCCTGTGACTCTGTGTTGTGGTTCTTAGCATTGTGTATATTTTCATAAAATTTAAATGAATCAAACCTAAAAAGAGTGGAAACAAAAAAAGGACTGATGGAAAAACAAGGGTAACACTAGATCCATTATTTATGGCCGGGCATAAAAATTTGTTTTTTTTAAGTCGTTATAAAAAGACTTAATACCATCATTTTTTCATTGAGATGAAAATTCATACAAATGAATGAAGTTCTTTTCTTAAAATTAGTTAATTAGTCCCCTACCAACGAAGTCAAAGGGGAATTTTGGTTGGATGATCATTTGCAGAGTTATGGTCCTTGGACTTAAATATTTGCTAAAATAATCAGTTTTCCACCCTTTTTTTTCATTATGCTTGAGGATTTTGATTTAATAATTGGCTTATAGTTTTATCATGACAAGTTACAGATCAAGTTCAAATTTTGTTCTGGTCTGATGATTTTGTGCAGAGTTCTGGTCCTTGGACCTAGAAAATATACTGAAATAATCAGTTTTCAACACTTTTTTCGTCTTGCTAGAAGATATTGACTTGATATTTGTTTAATATATAGTTTACATCATGTTATAGCTCCAGTTAGAATATTGTTCAAAACTAGAGGCTCTCAAGAGCCTGTGTCACTCACATGTATTTACTGATGCTTTGGAAATCATGTAAAATAAGGTTAAAATCATAATTAATAGTATTACATATTAGATATTATAATGATATCTAAGATAATAACAAAAAACTGCAAAATTTCTGTAAAATTACTAACTCAGGGGCAGCAACCCAACAACGGGTTGTCGAATTCGTCTGAAAATTTCAGGGCAGATAAATCTAAATCTGATGAACATTTTTGCCACCTGTCAGATTTGCTCTAAATGCTTTAGTTTCAGAGATATAAACTAAAAACTGCATTTTACCCCCATGTTCTATTTTTAACCAAATCGGCCATGATGGTTGGAAGGTGGGGTCATCAGACAAATTTTTTAAACTAGATACCCTAATAATTATTATGGCCAAGTATGGTTTAATTTGTTTTAGTAGTTTCAGAGAAGAAGATTTTTGTAGAAGATTACAAAAATTTACGAAAAATTGTTAAAAATTGAAAATAAAGGGCAATAACTCCTAAAGGGGTCGACTGACAATTTTGGTCATGAGACTTATTTGTAGATCTTACTTTGCTGAACATTATTGCTGTTTACAGTTTATCTCTATCTATAATAATATTCAAGATAATAACCAAAAACTGCAAAATTTCCTTAAAATTACCAATTCAGGGGCAGCAACCCAACAACAGGTTGTCAGATTTGTCTAAAAATTTCAGGGCAGATAGATCTTGACCCGATAATCAGTTTTACTCATGTCAGATTTACTCTAAATGCTTTGGTTTCAGAGATATAAGCCAAAATCTACATTTTACCCCTATGTTCTATTTTAGCCATGGCGGCCATCTTGGTTGGTTGGCCGGGTCACCGGACACATTTTTTAAACTAGATATCCCAATGATGATTGTGGCCAAGTTTGGTAAAATATGGCCAAGTAGTTTCAGAGGAGAAGATTTTTGTAAAAGTTAACGGACGACGGAAGACGGACGACGGACGACAGACGACGACGGATGACGGACGCCAAGTGATGAGAAAAGCTCACTTGGCCCTTTAGGCCAGGTGAGCTAAAAATGATTTTTAATCTGTTAACAGAGTCCATGATATCACCAATTTAAAAGGATCTTCCCAAACTGGTCCGCCATTCCATCTAAATATCCGCACAGAAGGAACTGGTTGGAGCCATTGTCACCTTGACATTAATTGGACGAGTCTGAAAAATTAAACGATTTGTAACTGAATTAACCAATGATATTGATTTTTGTAAAAGTTAACGGACGACGGAAGACGGACGACGGACGACAGACGACGGACGACGACGGATGACGGACGCCAAGTGATGAGAAAAGCTCACTTGGCCCTTTGGGCCAGGTGAGCTAAAAATGATTTTTAATATGTTAACATGTTAATATGTTATCCGCACAGAAGGAACTGGTTGGAGCCATTGTCACCTTGACATTAATTGGACGAGTCTTAAAAATTAAACGATTTGTAACTGAATTAACCAATTATATTGATAGGAACTTGACCTCAAATGTTAATACTGTGATGCCGCAAATTAAATAATTATCTGTTAATAAACTCGCCCCCACGAGCTTGTTAATCATACTCTTGACAAATTGAGCTGATATCTTTTTATTTCCTTGAGAACTCAGTAGGGATAGGAATGTGCTAATTTCTCGTTTTAGTTCCTGACAGTATACATATGGGGGGGGGGGGGGGGGGGGGGGGGGGGGGGTAAGTCTGTTCTCAAAAGTGATTTTTTTTTTTGCTGTAAATATGGTTCTACTGGCATGGTGAACCTTTAATGCAATTGGCAAAATTAAAACAGATAATAAATACAGACTTTCTAACTTTAAAAATCTGTCTACTTCTACTTATTTGTGGTTAATTTTACATAACACATGTGTCAACCTATATATAGCTAGTCCAAATAATTATGAAGTCTTGAAAGGCTATTATACTTTTTTTTTTGACGCCTTACATCGACTTCATAACGCTGAATCCATCATTTTTTGTTGGATTTTGAGAGGGAATTTCTCTCAACTTTGAGACCAAATTTAGCCATAAAATTTTCATTGAAGGCTAGAAATTTTTGCATATATACAAATTCTTACCTTTTATGTGTTTGTTTGTGCAAAATATTTCCAATGAATCCCTAAAGTAAGTAATGATAAACAAGTTGCAATTCCATCCGAGGCGGACGATTATATTCTGCTTGTTTTAAAACGTTTATCTGATTTCTTTTTACATGTTTTAGGAGAGTATAATATAAATGTTTGCAACAAACTCTGATTTGACAGACCCGAATT